TAAACACAACCCGACATGGAACAGCTCATGATACAGCGCTTCAATGCTACCGGGCCCCTGTTAATGGTCAGCATTCAGATGCTGGCCATCAACGCCCTGTTACATAATGCGGAAACGTTTGCCCACGAGGCTGTTCGCTCACCACCCACCGAGGCCTTTAAGGCCAATCCTTATCAAGATACAGTGATGGATTATCTATTCGATGCTATCTTGATGTGCTGCCGTCCCATGCAACGGAGGGACTCCCTTTATGATCGCCGTTGTCTGGCAAACAGACAAAGCGGCTATCAACAGCCAACACGCACCTCCTCTAAACGCTTCCAGGACAGTCACAGCTCGTCTACTGGACGGCTGTCGCTAGGTAGCTGCTCCTACAACTCCGGACGCTCCAGAGCCAGTCTAAACTTGTTTGACAACCAGGACATGGATGAACAGGACAAGGATGAACCGGACGACAGACCTGGGACAAGCTACAACTGATGCAATCGATGCAGCAGACCAACCTTCAACTTTGGCCTACACGAGGACAACAATGAAGAAGACCAAGAGCATGACGAGGATGACCCTGCTCCACGATTCCTTAAAGCACAACAAACCTCCACACCATACCCGTCAGCCAACCAGCGTGCACAGTCCTTCGCAGAAACAGAGCCCCTGCCATCTCTGGCCTAGAGGACGACCACCCTCCACCCTCTGCAAAAGGCAAGGGAAAGGGCAAAAATCGCCCCTGCACGGCCAGCACCAGCACTCCACTATCCAGCAGGTCCGCATCTACTCCCACTGCCAACAACAAGCGGCAACGAACAACGGAGGACAGCGTCATGACCATCTGTGACAGCTTATCGCAGGACCAAGAACAGCCTCCTTCAAAAAAGCATAAGAAAAGCCGACGTGACCGTAACTGAGAAGGAGACGCACAGGTACGACAGGAAGATCCAGCCGTCTTCACACAAGCCAACCCTGCACGCAAAGAAAAACCCAAGCACAAGAAGAAGAAGGACTCTTTGATGGGTGGCTGGCTAGAGGAACTCACTAAAGACTAAGAGTCCCTCTACAGCAAACTCAAGGCCACCAAAGTGCGGGGCTGGAAATAAACTATGTGTGCGCCATCTCTTTTTGAAAAACCATTTAGGCACTTAGCCAAACATTATTGTCAGCATAGCCGAACATTTACACAGTTAGTTTAGGTTTTTTCCACATAGACATTGTACACCACATGGTTACATATGTTTCTCAGTAGGGATGCCATGTATCATGTACTAGGGCAAACCTATTAAAACAAAAGTTGTTATTGCAGAAAACACGTGTGGACTACCTTATTGCAAACTTCAAACTGATAACACTTCCACGCGAGTACAACTCCTGCTTCCATATTGAAGCCATCCAATGTGCTCTGAAGGGTCGTCCCAGGAAAAATGGGGTTGGTCGTGTACCAATGTTTGGAAACGACCCTCTCAGGGCATCTATCCCCGAAAGGGGTGCAATCGAGTGTTTGAGGCATTTAAACGGGGAGGACAGGGGTGGGTGAGTTCGCGAAGAACTAGGCATTTACGGGGCAAACTAGAACAAGAACTATGGCAGCAATAAGTGTCTTGATGTGATAACATGTTTATGTAGAGGGATACCAACAACCAGATGTAGTTTACGTTTTTAGATCAATTGTTTTACCAAAATTAATGTACGGTCTTCCCATATACGCCTTCTCAATACCTGAATTAACAATGGTCCAGAATTTTCTGCAGTGCTGCTTTAAACACTAATATATTTCGTACCAAATTGACATATATAATGTATTAGAAGAGGTAGATCGCTCACTATTCAAGAAGATCTCCAGTATGCCTGGTTACCCTCCCTACCCTTCTGTCTCCAAAACAAAAGAAAGTTCCTCGCAGTCAACTCTCTACGGTTAATACCCAGCGTTTTAAGTAGCTATTTAATGTCATGTGGATCTCGAATGTTAAATTCAATGCTTCCACATGCAATAACAGCCTGTCTTACGATTTCTAAAGAACTTACAAAATCGAGAGACCCGCACAACAGGCCCATTGTCTGCCAAAGAACAAGTAGCTCACCACAAGTGGACGAAGGACTGTCAAAGAGTGACCTACGCAGCAGAAACCATTAACCTTCTCTCCCACTCCAGCACTTGCTTTCCCCTTGTGGGACAGCTACGTCTTTTCCTGATTGTGATGGCTTAATTTGTCGTGGGGGGAGGATCCACAACCCTCCACTCAGTGAATCAGCAAAGTTTCCTTACCTCTTGCCACAAATCCATCTGTTCACACCACTGATTGTCACAGACACTCACATGAAGCAACTCCACTCCAGCGTGAATGCAACAGTGACTGCCCTTCGTCAAAGCTTTTGGAGACCCTCCATATAACAGTATGTCAGAAAACCACTCCCAAAACTGTGTGATATGTAAAAAAAAGCTACAGGGACCACCCTTCAAGCCCCCAGATCTCACTCCCTTATGTAAGGTAAGAGTCCAAGAGGCAGCACCCTTTGCTGTCCACAGGGGTGGACTTTACCGGACCACTATATGTATGATGAGAGAGTGGGGAGACCAAATGCTATATCTCTCTCTTTACCTGTGCTGCAACAAAAGCGGTACACTTGGAAGTCCTTTCTGACTTGACAGAGAGAACATGACGGCCTTAGGCTACAAAAAAAATTCTGACCAGGAGGTCATCTAATTTTGTACATTTCTTGTCACCTCCTGCCGCAAACAATCAATGAACCCTTTTTTCTCTCAGTATCTTGTTCCTTTTGTTAGATTTACTGAGGTCCTCATGAGTGAATATTTCGCTAAAGGTTTTGCTGCTTTATAACGCTGGTTGCATTTACGAAGCTATGAGCAAAATGGCTAGATTACTAATTACTCCTGGCAAGTGTTAAATCTACTTTAATTTAATGGGAAGATGCCGGCAAAATGAATCCGTTTTAACCTTCATCAAGTTCGACCACTGAACTGCTAAATGAGAGTGGGAAATTATTTCTGTAGGAAATCCTTACTTGGTTATTAACTTCGGTAAGTTTAGCTTTGTTTAGCCGAGCAATTGATGGTAAGTTGTGATTTCTTATATTTCGGTTTTTTGTTGATGAAAAATACCGAGAAAAAATATCAGCAGAAATTATTTTTTCGCGCGTGTTCTCTGATGATACATTTCACATAATTTTTGATAATGTATTACTAAAAGATTCTGTCCAGATTTCTTGTTACTTTATTAATTTTACTCTATTACACGCCGCCCAACAAATGATCAGTAGCCTCGAACATTTGGCGCTTTCCTATTTAGCTTTTGTATTTTGATCACAGTCTCATGAAAGTGGCGGGAAATATGTACCGCGCATTTGTTTGGCGCCCAGATCAGTGACATCAGTAATCAAGAAACAGACAGGTAAGAAAACTTGCTAATTATATCAGTAGTATTTGATGTTAGAAATTATTATTCTGGATTATTCTGTTCTAGGTCAACACTCGAGAGAGTCACTTTTTTTCTCAAAAAAATTTCCCAGACAATTAACCTTGCTGGGTCATGCTGGGTCCCCTTGTTTCCTGAGTTTTTGTTATCTGCGTTGCAGAGTGTTAACCTGTAGTATCCTGGGTGGTGTATACCTGAAAACTATAGTTAATTTACAAAAATACATTCATCAATCCTGCAGTATGCCTGAAAACTATAGTTAACTTGCAACTACAGTTAACTTGCAAAAATACTCTAACCAATGCTGTAGTATCCTGGTTAGTGTATACCTGAAATCTACAGTTAACTTGCAAAAACGCTCAAATCAGTGTTGTAGTATCCTGAGTAGTGTATACCTGAAATCTACAGTTTACTTGCAAAAATACTCTAATCATTCCTGTAGTATCCTGGGTAGTGTATACCTGAAATCTACAGTTAACTTGCAAAAATACTCTAATCAATGCTGTAGTATCCCAGCTAATGTATACCTAAAAAATACATAACATTGACTTATTTGACTGATGGAGGTGAAAATCTTATTCAACTCTTACTCCTTTAAACATTCGTGGTCAAGTAACAGCTTTCTCTCATTCCATCTTATTTTTTCAGCACCCGCTTGAAATTGATTTTGGCTCGAGTGGTGCCTTGAACAAAGCCGAGTAAAAGAGCAGTATAAGAACCATTATTGCAGTATTTTGTGTTAGTGATCTAGGAGCCTCTGAATTTTGTGATTTTGCGATGGTGGTGTATGATCGCCAGAACTACTCCATTTGCTTGATATAAAAGCAGTACAAAAAACATTTAAATCATATATGTACTTGTCTCTTAATTGTTTCTGTTAGCTTTACAAGGATTTGATGCCTTTACATACTGATACACGACCATAAAAAAGTTAACATGTTTGATGACTTCGGTCACTGGTATAAAGAGCTACTTTTACGAATTTTACGAAAAACATTTTCCCAGCCTTTCAGGAAGCGGTTTAAATAGTTTCAAAGTCACAGTGCAGTCACAAAACTGAATTTTTAAGTTTACCTCCATTTCATACTATTTTACTGCCAGAGACTGAAGAAAGGCGCTACGTAAAATGTTTTTGTCGTTTTATTATTACCGAAATAGTAAGTGCCTTGGAAGAGCGGTTAGCGGGGCAGAAAAAGATTTAAACCTTGCCTTTATCAGATATTAGGGACCTTTAGCAGTGACGACGAGCACGTGAACGTCAACTACCGGAAGTTGGAAAACGAACCATGATGCTACCACGCATGCCCAAACGAGCACGAGCTCGTCGTCCACACCTCGTTGAGGACGCCATTTGCCACCATCTGACGTCCTGTGGTGAACGTGAGTATTGCTTGACTTATTTTCTTCTATTTTCTGACTTAATTTTGCAATTTCTTGAATCCCAAGGTTTTTCTTAGTAGATAAGACAGAAGCCGTAAGTTATTCCTGTTGCTGTGAAGTAAAAAACTCTGATTTTTTCGACGTTGCAGGAAAAATTTGACAGTCTTAGTATAACTGCACTCGGTCAAAGAAGTGATGGATGCAGCAGGAACATCAGGGTAAGTTTTAAGCGTTTTTATAAATTTAAGTTGTATTATTTAAACCGCATTTGATAACAGTTTTGTAAAAATCCTGTCGGGATTTTTATGAAGTTTTGTTCGTCTTTGAAAGTCTAAACTATTCATGTAAATACATTTGAGGTAAGAATCCACCTTAATAGCTAAACTCTGAATAAACTTACCTCCCTTTTTTGCTGATATAAAAGCCCTCTCAGAGCCAAGTTGTTGTAGTCGTTAATTTTTGCCCAGAAATCGTTTTAGGCAATTAATATGGAATCAAAAGTTTGTAAGCTTACCAGTATTAACACTGACTGTAAAAATATAATTATTGGCACTTTATTTATATTCAGAAATTATTCCATGAAGTGGTCAGAAGAGCACGATCTCATGCTATGCAGAGAAGTTCTTGTCATGGAACCATTCAAGCACCCAAAGCAAAGTAGAGAGAGAGGAGAAATCTGGGGAGAAATAGCACAAAACTTAAACGGGCTCAGTGTACCCAAATTCACTGTAAGAACGCGGTCTGTTAGGGACAAGCTCACTCTTTTGCTGAGGAAGTACAAAGAAAAGGTGAGAAACGAAGAGCAGGGTTCTGGCGTGAAACGTGACGAGGAAACAGAATTGGAGATGGCATTGTGTGAAATCATAGAAAAAGAACAGGCAGCTGATTTAGAAAGGAAAGAAAACACTAACACTCTTACCAAGAAGAATGAAAACGACAAGGCATCAGCCGAAGAAAGTAGGTTGAAGGCCTTGGAGCGCCTGGGCCAAACAAAAAAGAGGAATGCTGATTCATGTGATGAAGTTATCAAACCAAAAAGCAGAAGAAGTACCACTGAAGCTGTGCAAATTCTAAAAGAAAAATTTGAGAATGAGAAGGAATTCCGGAAGGAAGAAATGGAATTGAAGAAGAAAGAGCAAGAAAATAAAGCAGCTCAGCATCAAATGCTGATAGATCAGCAGAGGCAGAACAAGCAACAGTACCAGGATGTAATGAAGATGATGGCTGAACAGCAGCAGAGGCAGGAACAGCAGCTACAGAACTTTCAAATGATTTTCCTGCAGCAGCAACAACAACAGAGTCAAATGTTAATGAGTTTACTTGAAAAAGTAATGCCCAAATCCTCATAAGAGCTGGCAAAGGCAAAACAAAAGTTGAAAATCAAATCGTCAACCTTTGGCCCTTTCAGCTCTTTAGAGCCATGTTGTTGTTATCATAATTTTTAACTGATTATTTTCCAATTATAATTTTGTCTCTCTTTTTTTCTGGTGACTTTGCCTGTCCAGCTTGGTGATTAGTTTTTCTTCACCTCGACTTCAAAGGTTGATGGGTTGTTTACACCTCTGGAGAAAGGAATTTTCTTAGTGCAGTGTGTACAGTGATCAAAGATACATCGTTGAAGCTAAGATAACTTAAGTAAACCCTTTCACTCACAAGGATATAGAAGTTTTGAATTAAAAATTCAAATTAACTATCACATGGCTGATATAAAATGCTGCAAACCTTTGCAGTAACATCACATAAGAGTGATTGCTGCTTGATAGGTGGCATAGTAATTAAGAACATGGTCTTAAACATCGTCGTGAGAAAGAAAGTAGTACATTGATGTTTAGACACTGGGAGTGAAAGGGTTAAATTAAGCTGTCCTTTAAAATTTTAGAACGTTAGTGTTATGATGTGCTCCATTTTCTTACATTTACGCATAGGTTGAGCAAAACATTGAAATAAGAATAAAATACACATACCCTTTTCAGTACTCTTTTGAAACATTAGCATCTTATTGCTGAGTGTCCGGCTCTGGAATTATTTATATATTCCTTTTAAGCCTAGGCTATGAAGAGGGGGGGGAAGGTCTTTGAATGAATATTTTAACTTTTTGATGGATTGATCTATAGGCACCAAATTGATCTGGAAATATTCGTTTGTGCCATTATCAATTTTTTGTGACATTTGCATTTCCATAGCAACCGCATAAATCGAACTTGCATGTGTGTCGTTTTCTTTTATTTTCTCCCTGTACATTGAAGGTGCTTTTTTAAAGTATAATTCCTTCTTTCCAACAGTCTATATTTTACATTCCATTACACTGAATATGATCCACGAAGGAGAAAGTACATCATCAAAATCAGTACAGCTAGACTACAAGTCATTGAAAGTATTGTTCCAGGGAAGGGGGTTCAATACCAAATTAATCACTGGTGTTATTACCATAAAGGCATGTAATGGCGTTACGGAGAAGTGCGCAGACAACATACATTTTACCGACGCTGCTAAGGCCAATCTTCAAATTCTTTTTATAGTCAAGAAATTTAAAAGAATTAATGACGTCCCCGAATAACCATTCTACAGAAATCCGTAAAGCGCTCATAGCCTCTTTGTAATCCTGCATGAGGGGTGTAAGTGGGACACGACGGAACGGTGTTTGGAGATGAACTCGGAGAGGGTAGGCCAAGTGTCCATAAATGCACATAGCTTGAGCTGCTGGATTATAGGCATACTGTTGAAGGTCCCGCAGTAGTCCAGAATCATTTAACATCCCTGCGTCGTGTTTATGCCCCTCTAGAAACGAAATTAAAATCAAACATGAGAAAAGAATTTTTTTCGGGGGGGAGGAGGTTATTTAAGTTTAAAACACTAACGTTTTATTACAAACTCACCAACTGGTCCAAATAGGTTGCCAATAAGTCCATTTGGTAGGGACAAGGATTGGAATTTTAATGCGTGGACCCTCTTGTGGCCATTGTACACAATTCTCTGATGCTCATTTGGTCTTGAGATGGGTCGGACTGTTCCATCTACAAAACCGAAACAGTTGTCAAGGGGGCCTCCTTTTCCCGATATAGCTTCTGCATAATGCTGCAAAGCCCCAGGATTCAGAAGATCTCGATTCCATTGTGTTATACGGTGCCCATGAACGTCATAAATATAGTCGATGACATCATTTGAGATCAGGCTTAAAACAGAAACCGGTCGGCCAAATCGCGGAATCAGATCACTGAGTCTGCATGGGTAGGCAACTCGTTTGAGGAGTATGCATAAGCCTTCCATGTCGTCGCAAATACTCCTCTGCTCGCATTTAAACACCGGTGGTAGTTGCAGGGCTGCAACAAGGCGAGGGAGATCGTGTTTCTCGACACGAAACTCTGCTTTGCACTCCGCGGAGTTCATAGAATCCAAATCAAACCGTTGATAGTTTTCATGGGGAAAATCTGGATTCTTTGAGATGAAACTATCGTAAAGTAGCAAAAACTCTTCATCGGAAATAATTTCATCGCCGTAGAGAAGTACAAGGAGGTCACGAGATTCTTTGAAATACATTTTCCCTGGTGACTTTCACTGTAGGAAGAGACTCGTCCACATACCGTAACCGGTTTGCTAAATGTTTTTGTTTCCCGCCGAAATACCGCCGTGGACGACATTCTCGTTCCAGGCCCCAATCGGTCATACCAATCCTCGTCCTCGTTCTCATCTTCATTGCTAAAGGTCGCTATTGACGTTACTTTCATTTCAGTTTATGGTAGCTTGAGTTACCCTTTTGGGCAAATTACGAAGCGATCCCAGTTCAACAACATTGCTAAGGTCAGCCGTATCAAAAGTACACAATGAAAGATCTCATACAAATGGAGGAGGAGTGTCAGTATAAGACCTCAGAAGTAACCTTGATGGCTGAGATGGAAGTTGTATTGCGGACTGCCTTTCAAGAGGAGATTAACCAAAAGGAGGTCACCCTGGAGACTGTGAGTTCAAAGATATCTTATGCTGAACTAGAGGCTGTGAGCAAGTAGTAATAAACTACATTGAGTGTTACAATCAGAGTTTTAAACAAAGTCTACTAGTGTCCGTTGTCGATCACAGAGAGGTGTCTGTCTTACAGAGAGTATAGTTACAGTAAAATGACTGAAAAGCGGAAGGGATCAACACCAGATGTCCGTTAAGTGACAGTCGACTCTATTATTATTATTACTTTTATTTGCAACATAATAGGCCCTTTGCATGACTTGATCACGTGATCAACTTTTGGCAAACACAAAAAAAGGTTCAATTTTGTTAGCACAAGCTAAAAGAGGAAATCAAAATTAGGTAACCTGAGAATTTTTAGCCGTATATTTCGAAAGTAGCAATCGCAACAGCAACTGAAACTTAGAAGAATTTGTATAAGAAAAACAACTTTTGCCACCCAGTCACACTTGTATGGGTTTCCATACAAATCCTTGAAAGTGGAGAATGATCATCGCAGTAAATTTTCCAATTTAAGCAATTGGAAAGAAGAAGCCTGAAAAAAATCAGGGCTTCAATGGGATTCGAACCCGTGACCTCTGCGTTGCCGGTGCGTTGCTCTACCAACTGAGCTATGAAGCCACACATTGGGAGCGAGGTCAATTTATTGAGTTCATACCTCCCGTGAGGAGTGAAATGATGTGAAGTATATGAAATAATCCATTTTTTAACTGCGTTTGTAGTTTTTTTTTTTCAGGCTTGTTCTTTCCAATTGCTTAAATTGGAAAATTTACTGCAATGATCATTCTTCACTTTCATCAACAAGCGCAGTTCAAAAATGAATTATTTCATATACTTCACATCATACAAATCCTTGTAAGTTTTGAAATTTTGAAACTCTCACAAAATATTTCCTTAAGCATTACAGGGCTGAAATCTCCATAATGGCACAATAACTGCTATGTCGAACTTAGGGTAAATTCCCCTACAAATCCTTGAAGGAGGCTTTTGTGACCCTGGCATCCCTGTGGTGCCTTTCGGAAGGCAAATGACAGTTTTTGAACAGGAAAGATTCCCTACTGGTTCGACTTTTCCCATTTTTCTTCCCGTTTCTATTGCTTTTCTTGCTCCTTTTTTTCTTTTGTTGAGCCTGTACTAGTACACTGGACAAAACTGTTCTGGATTAACGTTTTTTTATACAAAAATAAAACAAGACAAGGAACCTCAAACTACATTTTTCTCTTTTGAACTTTATTGAAGTCCACACATCGAAAAATATTTTCATGTTGATGATGCAAGGAGGACTTGCATTATGGCGTCTCCACATTTGGTATCGAAATCACAAAAAAACTAGGTAAGAACTTTGGTCGACCCAATCATTAGTTGTTTGGTGGAAGATTTAATACATGCAGGAATTGGTATTTAAGTAATATATATTTATCAAAGATGAACCTATTGAAACTCTCAAAACTTGTACCAAAATATGTTATTCTGCAAAAAGTAACATCTAACTTAATTCTATTTGAAAAAAACACAAGCACATTATTTGAGACTTTTATAAGAAAGTTTACAATGCATTAACCCCCTCCCCAATGTGAATATTATATATATATATATATATATGAAATCATTCATATATAACAACTGTATGACGGATAAAATTTAATTCAGCGCTCCTGTTGAACAACCCTGAATTTCTTTAAGAATTCTTTATTCAGAATTGCATAAAAACAACTTGAATGGATCATTCTCATTTAATTACTGTGAGTGGCAAAAATGTATATTGTACAATATTTATTTTTCCCTTTGGAGGCTTCATTTGGTCTTCTATTGTAACATTGATATCCCTGTCTCTTCTTTGAGGTCAGTTAACTGAGAGGAGATCATGAAAAAAATTAACCTTATACCTCCAATTCAGCTTTTGGAACTCGCAGAAGTTGAAGGAATAGATCCAAGCTTGGCACTATTCCTTTTTAAGGAAGTTATCTACCCCTTTGGCACCAAAGACTACTAGACAGAATACAGTGTTGCCTCTCCTCATGCTTCAGAGTCTGGTGAACCGCTGATTGTGGATTTGCTTGTAGAGTGCATCAAAATTTACAAGATTCCAAGAGAACAGGCAAGTTTTGAAAAGTAACAGTTTGTAGCAGCTTTAAGTACTCTAGCATAGAATCAAAATAATTAAATTTGATTGACACATACACACCAATTCGCACTACAGTCAAGTAAATAGCATGCCAATAACGGCCAACATGGCTGAAAAATGATTCTATAACTGGATTTGATTCTCATAAGTATCATCACCACCATATTATAATCATCATTCTTAACAATCCCTTATTCCTCGAAAGGATATTTCTGCTAAAAACTATTCACTATTAGCATCATCCTCATTTATCACGACAAAAAAATGCTAGTAGCTTGTATAAAATGTCAGTTTTCTTACTATGTTATGAGTATTAAGGTATTCCTGGGGGCTATTTTGTGAATTTTCCCCTATATCTACCCGCATCAAATCTAATGTAATAATCTCTCAGAATTCATCAAACTTTCACATGTAAAACTTTATTCCATGCAGCTTCTTCAAAAATTATACTCAGTCTAAAAGAATGAAAGGAGTGTATGAAATTTGATATTTTGATGGGCGTGATCAAAACCGTAAATTTTACTACTTTGAAAGTACACTCCAGAGAATTTATTCCACTTCCAACAGCTTCTGGCAACTGATAGATACATTTAAAAGCAACAATCGTACGGGAGTATGTCACGGGAAAAAAACATCTCTTAAAAGAATTTTGCATTTCTATGAAATATCTGCGATCACTGTGAGAAGCATTTTCAAAGGCTTTAGACGTACTCCCGTAAAAATCTTCTGTAACTCATGCAGTTTGCATCTGCCAAGTTTCAAGTGCTTACGATAAACACACAAGAAGTTATTAGACTGAACAGGCTCCCACCTCTGATAAAACATGCAATATTTCTCGTGAAATCAAGCTCAAACTCCCCAAAAATCGTCCTGAATGCCAACATAAGCTTCTTTTCAGTGCAGCCATGTTTTTGATGCCTATAATTATTGCTTACGGCAGCTAATAAGAAAAAATGGCCCTATTGTGGGCCCTTTTTACTTTTTACGGGGTGCAATTTTTCCCACAAAACCAATCAGGGCAAGCCATGATAGCACTGCATAGCAACAACACCTCAACGATCCCCTGTTGACAGCCTGTGACAGACATACCACAGAGATCGAACCGAAGTGAGTGAGCGAGCGAGTGATTGAAGTATATATTCAAACAAAAGGTCGTGCAAAAAAGTAAAACATTTTTTGATGCATCAGACAAAAAAGCGCAAACAACCGAAAGGAATAGCAGTAAGCAGTAATGAAGCCAGGGGTTCGGGAGTTAAATCAAGGGTCGGCCTTGACTTTGACAAGTTGAGGGAAGCTGGATGGACGATAAGTGAAATGCAATCTTCATCCGCAGACAAGGTTTTATTTCGATACGTAAATCCGAGTGGAAAGACCATTAAAAGCAGTAGAAATGTAGAGAAACAGTTGAGAGAAGAAGGAACTTAGGAGAGCTTTGTCTTGGAAACTAATGAATCTCCACCCGAACCAAATGTGACTGACAATAAGCCAGCTCATCACAACGAGGATTCTGACTCTGACTATGAACTGCCAAAAAAAAAGATTGTGACGGAAAGCAAGAGGAAATGGTAAGTTCTTACATAAGAGGCTCCACCAGCAAGCCGTTAAAAGAGATTTTTTTCACAATTTATTGATTTGTTGTGTTACATTTTTTGTTGTTGTTAGTTTTACGTTCAAGGAGAACAATTTCACTTTTCCACGTTCCCGAGAAGATTCATCCTCGGTTAAAATCCTTGAAACTCACAAGTGATGTAAAAGAAAATAATAGCTAGAAAACAAAGAAAAACTTCACAGGTTTTTACACCGAGGTAGACCCATAAGATTGCACTTGTCATTATCATATACTTATTGACTGTTGGTATTTGCCCCTTTCTGTTAGAACTGACTACTTCAGACTTTAAAATGTTATTGTTCTGACCTGTTGTTTTAGTGTTGAGGTTCCAGAGGACTGTTTATAGCCACCACCTCTAGCATTGTGTCCCTGGTTGATCAATTCAACGAATTTTTCAATTGCTCCTCAAACAAAGGAAAATGTAAAAGTTAGTTTCTCTTGTAGATTGCAAATTTACAAGTTGCATCAGTGTTCAAAAGAAACCCATTCTCGATTTTGCTAAAGATTCCTGTTTGCATTTATGGACGCACCAATAAACAACTAAAAATATGCCTTATTTCCCATTGCGAGGTTGGCTGGATATTTGCCCAGTAAGTTATTTATTCTTCATGTTCTTTTTTTTTCTCTAATTTTTTTTCCGCAGTTATCTTAGTTACCCTAGGTTGATAAAAATGCCAAAAAAGAACTATGCAATTTTTCGGCCATTTTGAACAAACAAGTTCATCAGTCAATAAAGGATTCATTTTATGACCAAATTTATTTTTATAGCCAAACAAAATGGGAAATCTTGAGCAGTCTAATATTGTCTCACCTTGTCCACTTGTGGAGCCTGTTTTACAGTTACACAAAAAATTGATTGACACACATTATTATGTATTTCAGGAGGTTTTAATTTATAATTTTGTTGTACCCTTTGAACCTTTTTATGCAGGAAAACTTGTCTTAACGGCATACAACAAGAAAGGACTTGGTGGTGCCATATATGTCAAGTTTACATACTGTGGCTGTCGGGAAGTAGACTTTGACTACAGGAGCAGCCAACTCGCCCTTGAGTCTAGAAGACACCTGGTGTCCTTGGCTCTTTCCCTAGCTTTTTTTATCAGTGGGCACGGATATGCTGCTTATCGGAAAACTTTAGGGAAGGGGTTGGGATTAGGTGTAACTTCAGAGAAACTTTTTTTAGAAGTAATAGACCTAGCACTCCCGTACATCAAGGATATTTTAGATGAGACGTGTGATGAAGCAAAGCATCGAATGAAACAGGTCTCATCAGATCAAATCGGTTGCTGGTCCACAGCTGTGACATGCTGTGATGGATGCTGGCTAATAAGGGGGCACTTCAGTGACAATTGCACCTTTGTTATAAAAAATTACATCACAGGTGCCCTTCTCTCTTATGGGCAATTGCCTATGAGAGATGCAGACAGAATTTGTGATGAGGAACTATGGCAAGGTGCTGCCAAGTCATCAGAGGGCTACCTTAGTCAGATCCTTTGAACTACAGCTAAGGATCAAGGCCTGAAAGTGGGTATCAATTGGCATGACGCAGATTCCTCATCTGCCAAAGGATTTCGGTATTCTTTTCCAAATGAACAAGAGTCTAAAGTAATGTTGTGTGGGAGTCACGTTGGGAGGGCGCATGGTAAAAGGCTTGAAGAGTTAAAAACCATGTCTTCATTAAGTGAAGAGTTCATCGCCTTGCACAAATCAGACTTTCCTGCAGTTAAATCAGTGAAGTGCTGTTGCACTGGCAAAAAGCATACTTTTGCTGCTAAAAAGGACAACCTGTTTGTGGTTGTATTGGCCAGGGCTTTATACAAAATGGCAAGTGGAAACATAACTGTGCATTAGTTGATGCTGGTACTAGCCCTGATAAATACAGAGAAACTATGCTGACTCTTGGCAAATACCATAGCGGGGACATTCATGAGTGGGAAGGGGGATTTTGTTCTTTTCATCCTTTGGTTAAATGTAGTTGTAAGGAGTGCAAGGCAGATGAGAATGGGTTTTACCCAGACATGAAATGCCAAGGCCAGCCATATTACTGTTCATGCCTGGAAATGTGACCTTCATGGACTTGCATATGAGATAGAATGTGCTAAGAGGGCAAAAAAATGCAGAAAAGGTAATAGATCCTGAGTTAGGAAAGGGTCATTCAAATCTTCCCGAATCGATATTCAGTGTCCTAACTAAATTTCGTGCCAAGGACACCAACCTGCATCAAGAGCACTATCAGGCATCCACAAATCTCGGGCTTCTGCAAGCAAACATGACGTGGTGCTTCAAGAATAAAGGACCACATTATACTGGATCATTGAACTCTATTCAAAGATGGGTCTTCCAATATTTGACAGAATTCAAGAGATGGTACGCGTTTCTGCAATAAAATGTTAGTACAATTCAATTCAATTCAATTCTTTATTCACACCATACAAGATATTTACATAAGTGTACATAGTAGGAAAATAAAGTAGCTACAAATAATAATTAACTAAAAGATATTA